GCTTCGAATTGGAAAATTTGTATTCGCCACATATAGGAAAGCCGAGTATAAAACCCTATTTATCTCCATTATCATTTGTTTACTTAGTGTATTTAGAGTTGATATTTCACTAAGTACTCAGTATCCCGAAAATACGGGTCTTCCTATGAGTTTTTGAATTGAATATCAACCACAACCGTTTTTTCAATTCATTGACCACTGCATAAAATCATTTGGCACCTGTTCGGGGAAAGGGATATAAGTCCAAAAATATTGAAATTGAGTAAGTCGTCCCCAATATCCAAAACAACATTCTCAACCAATGTGCAAAGGGATATAAGTCAAAACACTAAGATTCTCAAGGTTATTGCCATGTGAAAAAGGAGTTATCTACAAAATGTGGAAATTTTTGGGTGTAAAGGGATATAGATACATATAAGTCCTTTCGCGAGATCGATTTGCAGAATATTGTTCGTGAAAAGGGATGTATTTGTACATACAGTTTTCGTTGTTCATAAAACTATAGTGGAAATGGGTATATGTTGACATATTTCCATTTTATGTTCTGGTGAATACTGTGGTGACATGTGAAAACAGGTATAAGTGAACTTATCTCCCTCCGCACGAAACATACGTTCCATATTTCGTTGAGTTGAGGGGTTTAAGTATATTAACGCTTCTTTGCACAACATATTTCTCACATAAGTCGTAGAGAAGAGAGATTCAAATGAACATATATCCGAACATATATATTTCAGCCCATTACACACTGCATGATATAATTATACATATATCCCTCTTCACTACCTACTCTCTCAATGACAGGAATGAACGTGTAAATATTAGGTTTGTTCGCGTTCACAGAACTGTATGAATTTTTCATGTTCCATGGAACTGCGCATGCTTCTGATGGTTTCGGACTGTTTATTTTTCGAACGCCTATTATTACTCAGATGATTCTGTATTCTGTTCAGTGACTTCAGTGACCTATCAAATGCAGAGATGTGAAGACGTGTTTTGTATGTGCCGAAAAAGTCCCTCGAATTAACATTAAGATTCTTGTTTTATGGTGACAGATTATACAATCAGAAAAATTCATTTTGTATTGTTGATGATTTGGAATTGAGACTATGTATTCCAAGCGGATTCAATTACTAAGAAAATATGTTGATGATGCAAGTGGTAGGAGTGAGCAGGCTGGTAAGTGCACGTAATAAAGTATTATGAATAATGTGAAAATCAGTTTAGTATTCATGATCGCCACTTCGAAGTCTATATTAGAAACGAATAATACTATGGGATTTTCGGAGTCAGAGCTACGAATAAAGAGAACTAAGGAACTGCCATTCCCTATACCGCCTACGTATTATAAGTGAAGCCGAGTCGGCCATCTTTTTTTGGTGACTTTGGTGCTTCATTCAATATTGCTCATTTTGATCAAAAACGTATGAACGTTTGAGTTTAGGCATGTTTTTTAATTTTTCATTTCTCGTCAATACACATTATTGTCTCAATTTCTGTTGATCTGTCTTTCATAATGATGAAGAGTTGTAATAAGAAACAAAATTATAATAAATATGATATAATCTTGAAGTACAAAACAATGATTTCAGATACAGACAGATTTGACTCAAGACTGCCTCTACAAGATGTCACATTGATTGCAAATTCCAATGGTATAATAGATCCAGGAACCGAAATTAATCATGGTGAGTACGTATTCAAAGAAATCGCTTTTGTCTCAAAATACAGAATGTTTTTTTCTCTTACGACATGATACTCATTTTTTTTGCCCGAGAGCTGATTGTGAAAAATTTCAGATATAGAAGATGATGGAGCTGTCGCATCGTCTTCAAAAGAGTTGACAGGCTCAAATAATAGTAGCCCTGTACCATATTTGGATCCAAGTTTACAAAAAGAACTGGCGGCTATTATGGATGACTCATTCGCGGATGATGATGGCGTAGCTACAATATTTTCTCCAGATACCGACGAAAACTTACAGATTGAACCTGTAGAATCAGGGCTGATCACTAATATGGAACAAGATGAAGATGAATCAGTGGATGACAGCGTGAAAGACAAGAATTATGAAACGGAAAGTAGTGAAAGTAATTCTGGAGATGAACCACGTACATCTGCTCAATCAGTGAATAAAAAAAGGAAAAGAAACTTGAATGATAGACAGATGCATACGCGGCGAGATAGTTCAGTATCTAACAGTGAGGTAAATGAGAATGAAAGTAGGATCAAGAAAAGAGGTCAAAAAGGAGAAACAAGACACATAAGGAGTATGAGGAAAACGATGCGTAATTCGGGAAGAGAGTATATTACCAAGAAAGGCAAGGTGATTCCAGCAAGAAGATGTAGGGATTTACAACAATGTAGATTGAAATGCAAGGAAAGAATAGATGACGGAGTAAGGAAGATAATTTTCACAGAATACTGGTCCATGCAAAGTTTTGATAGAAGGACAGCTTATATTGCAAGTCTCGTATCTACTAGACCGAAAGAAAGTAGGTACTCGCAGTAAAAAACCGGGTAAGAAACACAAAAACAGATCTCTTTCTCATACATATCATCTGCTTATCACAGGGCAAATGATCAAAGTATGCAAACATTGTTTTCTCTCTACTTTTGATGAAAGTAACAAATTCTTAACGAATGTTTTGAAGAAAAAGGAATCTGCACATTCTGGTATAACGCAGGAAGATGGGAGAGGGAAGGGAACCCCACACAATAAGATTCCCGATGAAGTATTGAATTTGGTTAAGGAACATGTATCTTCTTTACCTTCATACGAAAGCCATTACTGTAGAAAACAAACAGAAAATAAGTTTCTTTCTTCGTACTATACCCTCACCAGAATATATCAAGAATATAAGGAATGGATTCCTGACTCAATGACGCCAGTGAGTCGAACAATATATGAAAAAGTTTTCCATAGCATGAAAATAAAGATAAAAAATCCAAAAAAAGATAGCTGTGCAAAATGTGATAAAATCAATATGCAGATCAAAAATATGTCAGATATTGATATGAAGCAAACTCTTCAGAATGATTTGAATAATCACCAATCAGATGCTGAGTATGCTTATGACTCTAAAAGGATTGATATACAAAAGGCTTCACATGATAAAACTCAATCTGTTTTGACTTTCGATCTACAGCAGTGCTTGCCTACACCTGATATTCAAACATCAGTGGTATTTTATAAACGTCAATTATGGACGTTTAATTTGACGTTACATAGATGTGAGGACAAGCAAGTTTTTTGTTATATGTGGGATGAGACCATGGCAGGGAGAGGAGCCAATCAAATAGCATCTTGTATCCACAAATATCTGCATGATAATCTAGATCCTGAAAAAAATCATTGACATTATATTCCGACACGTGTGCTGGACAAAACAAAAATTCTTTCCTTCCAATCATGTTCATGTTATTCATGAAAGGAACGTCAAGTCTAGAATGTGTTGACCATAAATTCTTAGAGCCTGGACATACTCACATGGAATGCGACACAGACCATTCCATAATTGAGAAGAAAAAAAAGAAATATGAAGCTGCTATAGAGCACCCACGTGATTGGATGCAACTTGTACGAATGTGCGGTAAAACCCATCCATTTAAAGTTATCGAAATGCACAGAGAGGACTTCTTCGAGTTTTCAGCATTACTGAAAACATATTTCATAAACAAGAAGACAAATGATGCTGGCGACCAGGTGATATGGAGGAATATTAAATGGCTCAGATATTCTTCAAATGAGTTCGGCATTGTACAGTATAAGAATTCTTTGAATCAGGAAGAAGCCTTCAAGAGAATAGATTTTAAACGTAAATCCAAAACAGGGTTCTCCAAAATCAAGCCCCCACTGAGCTACAAGGGACCTGTCCCAATCAATCCTAAGAAGAAGGAAAATTTACTGGAATTACTGCCATATATCAATAAGAACTTCCATTTGTTTTATCAAAATATAATGACGAAGGATGATATTCCAAATACCATTCCATCTAGTGATGAAGACTCTGAATGATACGAATTTCCATTGCTTTTCATTTAGAAATTCCTATTAGGTGTTATTCTTTTATTTCGTTTTCAAAGTTGCTTTTGTATTCATGTAACTAATAAAGTTTTCTTTCGTATTTGGTATATTTTTTGATCTATCGGATTAACCTGAGTAAGACCTATATTGTTCAAGGAGCCTCGTGTGAGACAGAAAGCAAAAATATTGTTTTTTTTTTCTCAAATAATGTCTGGTGGTTGTAGAAATATGAAAACACCTCGGAAGTTAGTGAATTTTCCATTTCCATGAAAGAAACCGAATTCTGTTGAATTAGAGTTCGGCATGTTTCGAGCCTAACAATGAAGAAGTTGCCAGTCTGAGTCCTTCCATGATTCATAATCATTTCACACACTCCTTCAATAGGGAAAAGGGGTGTATGTTAATTTTTTCACTGTTATTCACGCGGAAACAGATACAAGTCCGAGATTTTTCTGCTCAAAACTGAAATTTTGATGGTTTCTTGGAATAGACTATCAAGGTCGTAAACGCACATATGATCATATCGTGAAAGGTTTTCTTTCGAATCAAGTGGTAGGAGTGAGCAGGCTGGTAAGTGCACGTAATAAAGTATTATGAATAATGTGAAAATCAGTTTAGTATTCATGATCGCCACTTCGAAGTCTATATTAGAAACGAATAATACTATGGGATTTTCGGAGTCAGAGCTACGAATAAAGAGAACTAAGGAACTGCCATTCCCTATACCGCCTACGTATTATAAGTGAAGCCGAGTCGGCCATCTTTTTTTGGTGACTTTGGTGCTTCATTCAATATTGCTCATTTTGATCAAAAACGTATGAACGTTTGAGTTTAGGCATGTTTTTTAATTTTTCATTTCTCGTCAATACACATTATTGTCTCAATTTCTGTTGATCTGTCTTTCATAATGATGAAGAGTTGTAATAAGAAACAAAATTATAATAAATATGATATAATCTTGAAGTACAAAACAATGATTTCAGATACAGACAGATTTGACTCAAGACTGCCTCTACAAGATGTCACATTGATTGCAAATTCCAATGGTATAATAGATCCAGGAACCGAAATTAATCATGGTGAGTACGTATTCAAAGAAATCGCTGTTGTCTCAAAATACAGAATGTTTTTTTCTCTTACGACATGATACTCATTTTTTTTGCCCGAGAGCTGATTGTGAAAAATTTCAGATATAGAAGATGATGGAGCTGTCGCATCGTCTTCAAAAGAGTTGACAGGCTCAAATAATAGTAGCCCTGTACCATATTTGGATCCAAGTTTACAAAAAGAACTGGCGGCTATTATGGATGACTCATTCGCGGATGATGATGGCGTAGCTACAATATTTTCTCCAGATACCGACGAAAACTTACAGATTGAACCTGTAGAATCAGGGCTGATCACTAATATGGAACAAGATGAAGATGAATCAGTGGATGACAGCGTGAAAGACAAGAATTATGAAACGGAAAGTAGTGAAAGTAATTCTGGAGATGAACCACGTACATCTGCTCAATCAGTGAATAAAAAAAGGAAAAGAAACTTGAATGATAGACAGATGCATACGCGGCGAGATAGTTCAGTATCTAACAGTGAGGTAAATGAGAATGAAAGTAGGATCAAGAAAAGAGGTCAAAAAGGAGAAACAAGACACATAAGGAGTATGAGGAAAACGATGCGTAATTCGGGAAGAGAGTATATTACCAAGAAAGGCAAGGTGATTCCAGCAAGAAGATGTAGGGATTTACAACAATGTAGATTGAAATGCAAGGAAAGAATAGATGACGGAGTAAGGAAGATAATTTTCACAGAATACTGGTCCATGCAAAGTTTTGATAGAAGGACAGCTTATATTGCAAGTCTCGTATCTACTAGACCGAAAGAAAGTACTCGCAGTAAAAAACCGGGTAAGAAACACAAAAACAGATCTCTTTCTCATACATATCATCTGCTTATCACAGGGCAAATGATCAAAGTATGCAAACATTGTTTTCTCTCTACTTTTGATGAAAGTAACAAATTCTTAACGAATGTTTTGAAGAAAAAGGAATCTGCACATTCTGGTATAACGCAGGAAGATGGGAGAGGGAAGGGAACCCCACACAATAAGATTCCCGATGAAGTATTGAATTTGGTTAAGGAACATGTATCTTCTTTACCTTCATACGAAAGCCATTACTGTAGAAAACAAACAGAAAATAAGTTTCTTTCTTCGTACTATACCCTCACCAGAATATATCAAGAATATAAGGAATGGATTCCTGACTCAATGACGCCAGTGAGTCGAACAATATATGAAAAAGTTTTCCATAGCATGAAAATAAAGATAAAAAATCCAAAAAAAGATAGCTGTGCAAAATGTGATAAAATCAATATGCAGATCAAAAATATGTCAGATATTGATATGAAGCAAACTCTTCAGAATGATTTGAATAATCACCAATCAGATGCTGAGTATGCTTATGACTCTAAAAGGATTGATATACAAAAGGCTTCACATGATAAAACTCAATCTGTTTTGACTTTCGATCTACAGCAGTGCTTGCCTACACCTGATATTCAAACATCAGTGGTATTTTATAAACGTCAATTATGGACGTTTAATTTGACGTTACATAGATGTGAGGACAAGCAAGTTTTTTGTTATATGTGGGATGAGACCATGGCAGGGAGAGGAGCCAATCAAATAGCATCTTGTATCCACAAATATCTGCATGATAATCTAGATCCTGAAAAAAAATCATTGACATTATATTCCGACACGTGTGCTGGACAAAACAAAAATTCTTTCCTTCCAATCATGTTCATGTTATTCATGAAAGGAACGTCAAGTCTAGAATGTGTTGACCATAAATTCTTAGAGCCTGGACATACTCACATGGAATGCGACACAGACCATTCCATAATTGAGAAGAAAAAAAAGAAATATGAAGCTGCTATAGAGCACCCACGTGATTGGATGCAACTTGTACGAATGTGCGGTAAAACCCATCCATTTAAAGTTATCGAAATGCACAGAGAGGACTTCTTCGAGTTTTCAGCATTACTGAAAACATATTTCATAAACAAGAAGACAAATGATGCTGGCGACCAGGTGATATGGAGGAATATTAAATGGCTCAGATATTCTTCAAATGAGTTCGGCATTGTACAGTATAAGAATTCTTTGAATCAGGAAGAAGCCTTCAAGAGAATAGATTTTAAACGTAAATCCAAAACAGGGTTCTCCAAAATCAAGCCCCCACTGAGCTACAAGGGACCTGTCCCAATCAATCCTAAGAAGAAGGAAAATTTACTGGAATTACTGCCATATATCAATAAGAACTTCCATTTGTTTTATCAAAATATAATGACGAAGGATGATATTCCAAATACCATTCCATCTAGTGATGAAGACTCTGAATGATACGAATTTCCATTGCTTTTCATTTAGAAATTCCTATTAGGTGTTATTCTTTTATTTCGTTTTCAAAGTTGCTTTTGTATTCATGTAACTAATAAAGTTTTCTTTCGTATTTGGTATATTTTTTGATCTATCGGATTAACCTGAGTAAGACCTATATTGTTCAAGGAACCTCGTGTGAGACAGAAAGCAAAAATATTGTTTTTTTTTTCTCAAATAATGTCTGGTGGTTGTAGAAATATGAAAACACCTCGGAAGTTAGTGAATTTTCCATTTCCATGAAAGAAACCGAATTCTGTTGAATTAGAGTTCGGCATGTTTCGAGCCTAACAATGAAGAAGTTGCCAGTCTGAGTCCTTCCATGATTCATAATCATTTCACACACTCCTTCAATAGGGAAAAGGGGTGTATGTTAATTTTTTCACTGTTATTCACGCGGAAACAGATACAAGTCCGAGATTTTTCTGCTCAAAACTGAAATTTTGATGGTTTCTTGAAATAGACTATCAAGGTCGTAAACGCACATATGATCATATCGTGAAAGGTTTTCTTTCGAATATATGAGAAAAAAATGCGAGCATGTTAACCTTCAGTCTCGTTTTCCCAAAACTACTGATTTCGGACATACACCCCTTTCCCTACGCAGGTGCCATTTATTCTCTCGAAAATACGTATTTTTCTGATAAGTTGAATCTCTATCCCATCTTCGAAAGCAATTTCACTGAATATCTTCATATTGTTGAAATAAATCATCAACTTGTTGGCCATTGTGAGGAGCCAGCATTGTGTCATAGCTCGCTTTTTTTTCCTGATTCACTATTTTCTTTCAGATCCCGATATTGTTTCCTCTTCTGCCGCTGACAAGCAACATATTTTAGCTCTATGACAGTTGAGTAGAATTTTCGAATTGTTCAAAAGTTTGTCTATTCCCTTGTTATCGAAAGTAATTATAGTGACATGAAGAGTTGTATCTATTGTTTAACGCATTTGTGAAAATGAGGCTTTTTGAATTGAAATATCACTCATTTTTGACGGGCGTTTAACTCGTTCGAGAAAGGTAGAGGTATAACGTCATTTTTTGCATAAAAACTGTGTCACTTTCCTTCACCTCGTGTACCTCACACAATCTTGCACTGTATTTGCGTATGTGATTGAAAAGTACATTTCACACCAGTGTTGTTTATCTCCACCCATAAAAAAAAAGACTCAACATATACATATATGTGGTTTTATGTAGCAAGGAATTCTGAAAGTAACTTATGTTATTTTGAATCGCTCTTTCACTTTTTCTTCTTGAAATGTTTTATGAATTCTAAATCAATTTTTCATTGAAAATTATTTTGGTGGACAGAAGTAAGTATCCAATGCTGTCGTTACCTACTGCTGGAGTTCGATGTAATGATTCTGAAACAAAATATGTGTATTCTGGTTCACCACTCCGTTTTAGTCATTTGAAAATTTGAATTCTCGAATATTGATGTTACTATTGCAAAAATCAGACGAAAGAGCTTATGAGTAACTAAAGCTGTCGTGTGTCTATGCTATATCGGCGTATATTTGTTCATGTTGTAGAATTCGGGGTTCAAGGATTACAAGCTATAGGATTTCATGGTCAAGAATCTTTATTTCACAAAGTGGCTTCAACCTAAACTCTACATTGACCCCTCTTTATATTAACAGTTTTTATCTCTAGAAACGAAAGGATGTGCCGACTGGGGCTGGCGAGTTCGTCTGACTGGTATTACTGGTGATAGAAGTATAGCAGAGATTTCTGAGGAACATTGTCCAAGGAAGTATCTATAGAAAGGTGAAAGGTAGCCGACTTGTTAGTGTTAGTTAGTGTGGCATCACCTACCAGACGAATGGCTATTCTCTGCATGGAATCTGAGAACATCAGCAGACATACGTCTGGTTGTCGAACCCCATACATGAGAACAGTGTTCTAGAACCGGCCGTATTTGTGCTTTGTCAATCATGAGAAGCTGTTGAGGTGTTCGCACGGAACAAAAATGCAAGTTTCTGTGATGCAGCTCTCGCAATGAATCGGAAGTGATTTTCCCATGTGGAGGATTGCTGATGGTAATACCGAGCAAAGATATAGTGGAGTTGGTGGGTATTTCGTTATGATTGAATCCAAAGGAAGGTTTCATGACGAAATTGAACAAAAAAAAAAAAGAAAATGTTTTTCCTTCTCATTGACCATGGGGCACCAATAGTATTGTGTCCTTCTTCAATGAAAAACATACGCGTGGTACGAATCAAAACGAAAGTTACTGGAGACGACTCATGAAAACTTCCAGAACAAGGAGTAGCCTCGGGAGTAGTCAATATAGAGTGTCCACGACACGTCATGAAGTCGGTGAAATATCTACCTGTAGGTAACTTTATTATTGAAGTAATTATAAACATTTTTGTGGATTCTTAACCCAGTTAGGGCCGAAATTATTTTTTCTTCATTTCCCAGGTATTTTTCATGAAATGCTTCCATTCAGGAGTCAATATCATATTACGATATATTTTTGGCACATGGAGTTCCTGTTTTTCTCGGAAACTGGTGTTCTTTTAAAAGGACAGTGGCCTAATATACTACCGTTAGGAGGAAATATTTTATTAATTAAAAACATTGAACACATTTACATTGTATGATAATTCACAAAACAAAATTTTGGGTGCAATGCGATTTCACATTTTCTACATGAAAAATTACATTTTTTATGGCAAACACAACATCTAGTTTGTTTATCTTGATATGTTATCAAATGGTCCAGTCTATCATATCGTGAGTGTTCATGTAAGTCAGAAGATTGGCGAGTGGGGCCTCTTTTGGATGTTTTTTTATATGTTTCTAATATTGCAACTGCAATTGATTGTCGAAAGCTCAAATGGTCTTTTCTGCCACCTCCTTGCCTGTATATTTGCCAAGCGTTGTGTAAAGCCATATCGAGACAGTGACATATCAATGGAAAATACCATTTTTTCCCCCTGATAGAAGTTCTGTAGAGGCTTATATTTTGATCCGCTCTGTCGACCCCTCCCATATTCTCGTTATATTTCTTCACGATGTGTGGTTGCGGCACATGAATTTGTTTTTTCTCTTTTTGGGAGAACCTTTTGACAGGTACTGTGGGAAGGACCTTTGTACAGTTCGAAGCTAAAGTAACCACATTATTATCGTTCCATTTACATACAGTAATTCTATTAGTATCGGAAGTGAGATATTCGAAAGAGCCTCGCACTTGTTTTTTCATAACTTTAGAATGAGGTAACTGGCAGTCCTTACCCACCCTGTTTTCACGAATGGTTCCAGTTCCTTTCAGGTTCATATCTGTCAGTTCTTCCAATAATGGCAACGAGGTGAAAAAGTTATCAAAATATAAATGACATTGCGAATCAGGATATCTGTCTCGGAGTACACTAGCAAATTCAAGAACAACACTGGCACCGAGGCCTAAGTCTTTATATTTTTGGGAAATAACAGTTGTTGAACCCTGATACGGTTCGAACCATTCAATGTAGCCATATCGAGTAGTGCCTGTCCAAAACTTATACCCCCATCGGATGGGTTTACCTTTTATAAATTGCTTAGTGCTGTGTCGGCCGAAGTAGGGTACCATTGACTCATCAATACTATGATTTTCTTCATATGGTGCCATTGCTATGAATTTGCTATTCAGAGCATCAGTTAGAGGGCGAATTTTAGCGAACTTGTCATTCAGATCTAGATTCCTATTGTCACAGCAGTGGATATTCTGCATGATGTATTTGAATCTATTTCTAGATATGGCATCACATACCAGAGTATTGTTCGTGGCTTTAGATGATTCCCAGAACATTGATCTCCGAGGATGGCAGGAAAATCCACTCAATAATAGAACACCAAAGAAACAACGGATTTCATTTCCAGAAATATCTGCATTGCGATTATGTGAAGTTGCGAAAATATTTGTGTAATTCACAAACATATCTACGATTTCATCATCAAGGAATGAGGAAAATGCTTGTAGAGGCGTATATAGCTGTTTTGGACCTTGCATACTCTGCCATTCAGCAAAATTGGAAGTTATATCTTGTTTGATCCAGTTATATGTTCGCTTCTTTTTCTTTTGTCTCTGCTGCGGAATAACCACTTTAGTACCGTAAGTCGACAAAGGCAAATCATCTTCACTGTCCCATTCATAATCCATTGTTTCCATGTTATGATCATCCACCATGAAATCAGCTTCGGCCTCCGCGCGAAGCTGACTTCCAGGTAAGTTATTCAACCCAACATTGTCCTCTTCGCCTGAGTCTTCATCCGTATTTCCATTATTTGCATCATCTGGAGGAAATATAACAATATTTTCTGGGATTTCTATATCATCATTCTCGAGTTCTTCCAGCAATTCATGTAATTTCAGGGGGCGATTGAGATAACTGGAAATTGAAACAGTTTCAGTTGATTGGGCCATCGTCCTTTTAAAAGGACACTTGATTTTTCATCAGTGTATTGTCAACCATGAACGTTATTCTAACCCCAATTCCATATAAAACAATTATTCAGTTCATCATTCAACTGTTTCTTGCATATTAACAAGAAAAAAGTGTCTAGGGGATGATAAACACTCACCTCCAATTATCCATGTCTCACACACAAAGATGAGATCCTCTGAAATGACCAAAATATTCTGTTTAATTTCACAAAAACATACAACAGTGTATTTCCCTGTTGAAATAACAGTTACCGAAGTACAACATCCTAGTGTCCTCTATCAATAAACGCCAGAAGTAACACAATAAAAAAAACTGTAGCTTGGCTTTTGAAAGGACAGTGGCCTTATCTGGGTTAGTGTCAGATAAGAAGAGTGAGCGTGAGCAGGAATGCCAGATGGCAGGAGTGATAGATAGCAGATACGGCAGGCAGCAGTAGTTGAGAGTAGCAGGTGTGAAAGGTTGCAGGTGTGGTAGGTAGCAGGAGTGGTAGGTAGCAGGAGTGGCAGATAGCAGGGTTTCGTAGGTAGCAGGAG